ATAATACCATCACTACCAAATTTCAATCTTCACTTTTGATCCTTTAACAGCTCATTGCCCTTTGTTCAATAATTTGAAGAGACTGATTGGTAAGCATGTTTAGGACATACCGGCTTCTTTCTCAACACAAGCTCAGTGTCTCCAGCTTCGATGTAATAGGTAGGGTTTGACTGACCATGTCCAAAACGACGAATGATGAACGGGCTGCATTCTGCCAAAGCTAGTTCTTTTTGAAGAAACTTTTGTAATTTCTCCTCTGGTAGTCGCTCTTCTATAAAGATCCTCTAACTCTCATATTGTCTTGCTCTATTTGCAAAATGTTGATTACAAACTTGGCAAACAATCTCTAGTATTTGACGGATATTCAAACAGATCTGAAAGCATATTTCTGACGTCTTCCGTGGCTCTCAAGGGAGAAGTGACCTGTAATGTAAATTCTACATTTCGCTGACAATGAGGCTTGTAAGTTAACTGTCATACTTTGATAGTGAAAATGCCCATGGCTTTGGCAGCTTTGAGATTCGCTCCCAAATCATCGAGTAGTGCGCACTCTTCCGGTTTTACCTAAATTTTCACAGACTGAGAAAAGAAGAAATTTGCGGTTTGAATCAAAAATCTCACCTTCAACAGATTGCATACGTGAGTGTAAATAGCGTATTCTGGTTTTCGCATACCAGCCCTACATGATTCTACGACTACATCAAAATAATTTTCTATGCCTTTCGGAATCGTTGGAGAAAGCCGGGCTCGATCGGCATAGAAATTATTGGTAAGCAGGGCTGTTTTGATTCCGACTGAGCGTAAGTCCTAAAACGAACTGCACATCTGGTTTTCAAAAGTGTTTTGGACTAACTCTTAGCAAGGAGGCCATTTCTGGTAGAATCTTCTTGTCGCTGATTCCATCGATAACAGAAGAAATAATAGGAATGAAATTTTCTGCGCGCTTGTGCTGAAAGCATATAATCTTCAATTTAAAAGATGAACACAGAATTACCTGGATGAACTGATAAGGTTAAAACAAGTTATCTCCAAAATTTTCACCTGCTTGTTGAAGAAATGGGTGAACAATGGGTCAAAATCCTCTGCTGTCGTCTCCCCTCTCTCCAATGCTTCAAACTGCTCTTTTATAGGAGATTTGAAAAGAGTGGACGTAAGCGAACCCGCGTCAAATGTGCGACTTGTTTCCATAT